CTTGCGCGCAACTATCACGTTAATTCACTGTACCAAGGATTAGAACCGGGGATGATGCATCAACGGTCAACACGTTAAGAACACTTTATTCGAACTGTAGTTTTAAAATCGTCGATGTATATACTCTTCGAACTATGAACATTTGTGCCATTTTTATCCAACAGACGGACAAAGAAATATTTGCACAAATAGGAGAGCTCAAGTTACACGAGCTCTACCCGTTTGCACAGCGGAGAAAAAAAGGCGCCGCGAAGTGTAAATTTCAACTTTATTATGAATCGCACGATCGACGTTCGGTCTTCCATCGATCGTTGCCGACGATGTGTGAAAACGGGCTGCTATTGAAATCGTAGTCTATTTACTTTCCACCCGTATATCCTTTTCACGGAAAACGCGCGCCGCAAACTTTTCTCGATGCCTCAGTATGTGTATATGTATATATATATATACATGTGCACAGAGCTTTCTTTCTCTATTTTCTGTGTTTAATCGTTATTCCCTATCCTTCTGCGCCCTCGTGTACGCGCAAGCAAATACCTCGTTATGCGACGCCGAGAACGTTTGCATGTACGTCCCGTTGGAAAAGAAGCTTGTATCGTCTCGCATGATATTTATTAATCAAACGCTTTGTGACGGTTTGCGTTGGAAAAAATAACGACAACCGGAGTCGTTTTATTTCAAAGAAGAAAAGAAACGACAATTGTGCCCTATTTTCTTTGCCCTTGATTACCTGAATTTTTACCCTTTTTTACACCAGTCTTCTATATTTATTCGCATTTCCATTAACGACAATATTTGCGCATTGAAAAAATCGACAGTGAAAGCTGCAAAGTACGATCCAGCTACGTTTGCTCATATACCTCGATATGAATTACTATTCGGAAAAGTTACAATTTGTCGCCGCTCTTTAATATTCTCTCCGTGAAAATTCTACGATTTTCCAAGCACGCGAAGCTGCGCAGAAATGGAATTTCATAAAAAAAGAAAAACTGCTCGCCGCTGTACCGACTACTTAAAAAAACATTTTTAATTTCCACGTTACATCCATCGTCCTGAAACACTTCTACGTGGTTTCACTTGTGTAACGCGGTTACGATCCGTTTTCGCCGCGGAAGTATCACACCTCGCGGAAAACTGTGACATTTTATTCTCCACTCGCGACTACCCTCGTTAGACTTTTCCGGACAGGTTTCCGTGAAACCTCGCGCGCAACTTTCGCGACGAATTCTTGGAGCATCTTACAATGGACCGGGGAAAAAAGGAAAAACCGCTTTGAAACGAAAAAGCGTGAAAATCCATGGGATTTTTCAAACGCTGATGCGTGTTCGCCTATAAAAAAAAAAAAGAAAAACGACGACGACGGTGTGACCACGCTCGGGAAACCGTGCGTCCCGAAACCGTGAATGGCCGCAATATAAAATGCAAATGACACTTTCGCCGAACCGTGGGGGCGTCTCGTTTTCGTGAAAAGGCGTTTAAAAAACTGCCACCGCAGATGTTGCCTGTAAAACTTCTGAAAGCTCCGCGCGACCTACATCATCACGCACACACTCGTGAAATTTCACCCTGGCCAGAACTATTTATTCTCACCGTTGCAAACGGTCCATTTTCGTACGAATCCCCCTTTAAAAGGGTTACATCTACCTGGAGAGCTGAACAAAAATTCTTTTCTGCGGATTTTTAACGCGTATCTGCGAAGTTTAAGATTCTGGGAACTGGATGAAAAGTTTTGGTTGACATCTGGAGAACTAACGGAGTTAGGTATCTGTTTACTTTAAACGTGGCTTTCTCGAAATAGGATTTTCCGAGTGAACGAGCATTATATTTTGAGAAAATTTATTTCATAGAATTGTCACTTCAGTTTTTTTAACCGTAGTACTGTCTTCGGGTCTTTTTTGACCCAAAGACTTCAAGTGATAATAAAAAATTAATATGATAGTTGGAGAACAGTTTCGTTAGAATTAAAAATTGAACATCATCGAGTGTTCTATGATTCTTTTCTACGAATGTACTTTGAAACTTTTCTATCAATTCTACTATCTTAAACGCATTTTTCTCGAAACAAGATCTTTTCTTGAAATTTCGACGAGAGAAATTTAATTAATTTCTCAAAATTATCATCTCAACATTTTTTATACGATAATTAACCAAAAATTTAATTAGAATTAAAAATTGAAGATCACCGAGTACATTATGATTCCACTTTTTTAATTTTATAATTTTCAAGGTCTTACCTTCTCCGTCTGAATATCTTATATTTTCTCTGTGTCTCGATCGATACTGTACCATTAAGTCGACTAAGAGTATGTACATTATGCAAGTTCGAAAAGGAAAGATGGAGGAAAGATCGGTGCCAATAAGGTGCTCGAAAGAAAGTTCAACAACGATCGAAGATGTTGTAATATTAATGTAAAGTCTTCGATCGCGGGCGTTTCGAATTTTCGCCTTCCGAACTTCCGCTGATCGATCGGCAAGCTGTCTTTATTTACGGGCCGAACGTTTTAGACGATTCTCCCTACCGGAGGACTCCATTCGCAGCCGTATAAATTATTCCGTGGATAAAACGCGAATAATAGAGGCTCTAAGATTTCAAGGGATCGAGTTTATCGTTGTTTCGCTTCGACACCCAGTACTCGATACCCGTCCGCTTTCACGGATTAAAAGCTTCGCCCGTCTCACGATGAATTTATTCGGTTTCGCTCTAGGGACAACTGTTTTTCTCGTGGTATTACGGCGACTGTCATTTGGTCTTTAACTGCAACAGGAGTTAATATCGTTCGAAGCGTATGAAACACTTCGTTTCTTAATTTGTGAATTGAAGTTTGTACATTCTGCCGTTTCAGATATATACCGCTTGAAAACTTGCTAGCAACAGAGTTTCTCTATTATTTTTCGTAGAAATATTGCGAAATTAGAAATTTTCTCAAGCTTTTCGAAATATTAAAATTACAAATTTTCTCAATCTTTTCGAAATACTGAAATTCCAAATTTTCTCAAGCTCGTAAAAATATAAAAATTGAAATTCCAGTGAGTAATATTTATATTTGTGAATAAAATTTTGTCGACTCGAAAATTAGCAGAAGTAAAGGACATTCTCGAGGCGTGGAAGTTCATTTTTACATGAATTTTACGGCGAATCGAAATTACTCCGGCAAGAGGATAGATTAATAAAGGGGTTGAGAGAAATCTTTAAAGCGACGAGCGAAAGTCGATGATAATTACGCACTAGAAAATCGTTCCGACGCGAAAACTCAACGGGGAAGAGCAGCTTTAAACGAGATTTTCCCCCAAGGAAACAGATGAAAATGCGTAAGCATTTACATCCCTTAAGGGATAAAAACCTCCGGGAGGTTTTTAATTAATTTTAATGCGGCTTTCAGCTCGCGTTTCTTGTCGCTTGTAATACTGCGTGTCATCCCTCGAAAGTGGGAAGAAGACTCTACTAAATTGATTAATCCTTCGATTAAAAATCTGAAAAGATTTTTCACTCGTTTCATTTATGAAATTATTGAATTTCATTGCATTATTTACCTTCAAATTACCGACAAGTGAATTTTATTGCACTATTTACCTTCAAACTACCGACAAGAAAAATCAAAGATCGTTAAAGTGAATAAAGAATTTTTTTTTTACCATTTTTATGTATAAAATTATTTTCACATTAACGAACGAATTTTATTGCACTATTTACTTTCAAACGACAGACGAAAATAGTGAAAGACTCGAAACACGCGATAACTCTAAAACAACAATGAAATCGTCAACGAATCATGGAAAATCCGCGTGTCGTCGATTTGCGCCGGATTAATCTGTCATGAGAAACCAGAAATCGCTCTTCCCTATTATTTAGCAGCGAACAACGATCGATCGTCCCGAAATCTGCGTTTGCCGCGAGACAACCAGAACCTCGAGGAAAACACTTCTCAAATCCGGACAGCGATTAATCAATCCAGCCAACAAATCGAGCTTCGTGGCCCTCGATGAAAAATGGGTTCCCGTCGCGGAAGAGAAAATTTCCAATCGAAGAGACTGCTCATCGCGCGCGCGTGCCCTCCGCTGAATAGAACCCCCGTAGATAGGTTTAAAAAGCGCCCGTGGCACTTTCTTCCTGCGACTAACGACGTGCACGTGTTTCGATGACGATCGATGTTTCCGAAAAAAGTTCGCGAATGTGTGATGTCATTTGAAGTATGTAATATAATTCACAAAATGATTGATACTTGGAAAAGATATTATAAAAATCGAAATAATCTCATGATGAAGTGATTTATAGTTGATGAATCATTGATATGTTACAAAGAATTGAAAAAATTTAGAATTTAAAGAATTTTAGAGTAATATTTTTGAATAAAATTTGAACTAAAGGTGATTTATAGTTTATCAGTTGATACTTTAATGCGACATTTCGTTACACCAAGAAAATTATGTTTATCCACTACTCAAATAAAGTAAATATGACGATCAATTGATATTTCAAAACGTGGTTCAATAATAATTTGAAAATTACATTTTAGAATATTAAATATTATCTTATCATATTTCTTGCACGACAAGAAAATTATGCGATAACATTCTACAAAGAAACCCAAGAAAAATATATATACATATACCCAAATTGCAAAAATAAACGACATACTTCCCAAAGAAACCCAAGAAAAATATATACCTAATTTGCAAAACTAATCGTCTACTTTCCCAAAGAATTCTAGAAAAATTTATGAGCAATCGATATTCCATAAACAAGTCGGACAATGCCTAGATCCTTCGCGAATGGTCCTTTCGAAATGATCCACGAGAAATCGGTATTCCCGAAAGGGATTGAACGGCGAAACGCCAAGGAGTCCTCGAAAAAATTGCTCTATGTGTATATAATGGCACAAAGACGCGAGAAATGTATTGGCAGCGAGCCGATCGAACGATCGATCTTTAAAGAGAAAACAGACAGATCGATCAGCGCGGAAGATGGGAGGGCAGGTGCAGGGTGCGGGGATCACACTTACAAGACTTACGATCGGCGTGTCTGGTCCTCTTGCGCTCTCTCGGCGTCGTTCTCGTCGCCGGCGTCTTCGTCGCGGTCTTCACCAGCGATTCCAGCAACTCGTCGTCGCCGTCGGTCAGGTTTCCATTCGTGTTTTCATCGCGAAGCAACGGTCCCAACGATGTACGACCTGAAACAGCAATTTTCCATCCCCTTTTTTCTTTAGAAACTCTACACCTTCGATTATAGAAAATTTGATTTGCGTTAAAAATTGATGGAATTATTCTGCAGCTTCGTATAACGTGTTACGAGAAATAATGAAAATTTCCAAGCTTTTTTGCAATGATTATATTTCTTAATTAAACTAATTAGTACATGTGTTAGGGGTTGGGTTTACGACATGGACGCCTGTTTACGCTATTTTTCAACGCGCGCCATTTTTCTTCGCGTTAATTAATTTCTCCTTTCAAATTGGCGACGAAGCCCAGGAAGCGTTTTATGGCTGTAGAAAAATGAAGTTTCTGCGGGCCACGTACCTTCCTGGTGCCCACACGTGAACATTCAATAGACATTGTCAAGTCATAAAATCTTTCGCGTCACTCTGACCGCCCAAAGTCCCGTTACCACCGCCCTGTCAACTTGGAAATTCCAGGGTGGGCGGCATGCTCGCGGGCCATGGAGGACTGTCTAAGGGGGTAGACCCGTTCCAATTGGCGTACACCACCACCTCCTACCCATACTGACATTCGCCCTCGAATGTTCTCAGTGCAACACTTTCGGGCACACTTCCCCCCACAGTGGCACACAGCCGAAACAACGCATTTTTGGGAGACGTGCAACCCTCGAGATGTTTTCATCTCACAGCGCCTGGGGCTTCGTGCAGCCGTAGATGCCATCCCGGACGAGCCCCCATTTGTAGGAACCGACGACAGAAAAATATTGAGGGACCCAAAACGAGAATCGAACCCGAGACCAAGCCGAGGCTTTGCGCGCTAGGCCAACCACTCCCTCTCCATTCTCCCTTGGAGGTTTCCTATTTGGGTATGGAGGCCCCGATACTGCAAATATTTCAAGTGAAATAATTTTCTTGGAATGTGTGATATTTCGTTTCATATTGTTCTTCATCATTTCCCTAGGAATAGCCAACGAACATAATACGAACGCTGGGAATAATGCAATTAAACGAATTACAACCGGGGGATGAAAATTCATTGCAAAAATCGTTTCCCCTAATTAAGAGTAAGGTGATCGCGTGGTTGCCTGGAAACAGTCGTCGTTAACGCACACGATAAACTTCCCTTCGATAGGAAGAAACCTCGTGGCTAAGAACTACGGCGGAGCTGTGAGACCTGCGTTGAATGCAAATTGAGAATAATCCGATTAAGGAGTGGAATATTTCTGGCGAACTTCCCACGGAATCAACGATGAAAGATGCATTCTAGGTGAGCGTGTCACCGCGTGGAAAATTACGTCACCAAAGCGAGAGTGACTGTTGAAAAATGGAATTCCGCGGATATTACTATGCTGCGCGAAAACGAACCAAGAATAGTCCATGAATATTGCGGGGAACAATTGAAAACCGAAATAAACCTCGTAACATAGCGAAACACTTCATCTCCTCGTTACCAACAAGGCACATTTCCCAACTGATGCTCGAGCATTTCAATAAAATTTTGTGCACTGCCGGAGAATTTGAAAATTTTTAGCAAAAAAGTATTTTTATTACAACCTGATCTAAACGAAATGACAGCAAGATGACAGATACTGCTCCCATAAATATGAATATCAGCAGCTAAAAAAAGAAGGTGTCTAATATTTTTGGATCCTCTAACTGTACCCAAAATTTGATCAAAATCGACGTGTATCAGTTAGCGATGTCCTTTGTAAGAGAATAACTGTAATCATTAGTGAAAATTTTGCACGACTGGAATAATAACAAGAATAACAGTACTACTCTTCGGTAAATACTATAATATTATTAACATCTTTATTAACTTACTTTCTGAAATGGAACAAAGAAAGGAACCTAACTTCAACCACTTAATGCCCATACCAGTGTCTTACCACATACAATAACTGCAATTTTACTTAATTATTTTCTTTCATTTTCCATATCGTGTTATTCTTTCTATTATTACACAAAACGTGAATTACATCAACATAAATAACAGCAAACTTATTTCTATACGCCTAAGAAATAATTAGGAAAAAGTAAAATTAATCATTTTTGGCACATTAACCCTTTGATAGTCTAATAAAATTATGAATTACGGTAAAGAAAATTTTTAATAATTACGTCCCTTTTTAACTTCTTACGAGTCTTTCTTGAGTTAAACAGTTAAATATTTGACGCTTTGCCCAAGTCTCACAGGGGATAAACTGTCGAAGGGTTAAGTTGAGAACAGTGTGCACGTTAAGGGGTTAATAACATGCAAAAATTCACAGAGGTACCAGAGTTTCGTACTTTCACATTGTCACAGCGAAAGGGTCGAGCAAATAAAAATTTCTGATACACATTCTCGTCCGGCGAAGGGACTCCGCGACGTTTACCCGGATTACACTCTGCAGAGGCGCGCGAGCCATTCTTCCTTCGCGCCGTCTCTACGGCACCAACACTTCACGGAACGATTTCTCTGTGCTGGTATAGTCCGCGGGGCAGAAACTTCGAAACCGTCAAAAGCACGGGGAGGCCCTTTGAGAGGTTCTTTGAAACTCGCCTGAAAGAAGCCTCCATTGGCGGTCTCTCAGGCTGTGTAAATCCGATACGAAGATGGTGCACGGAGAAGAACGGCGAAGAGGGTGAAAACGGGAATTTCCATAGACTGGGAAAAAGAGAAGGGGGCGAAGTTTCGCGATGCGGTCAACCTGGTTCGGGTCTTGAATTTCGTTGACTGCGAGACTTCCCTGCTCTTACGACTCGCGGAGAAGGTTAAACGACTTTAATTTTCCCGCTGTTCGCCGGAAAATTGTCCGCCGTTTGATACTTGCGGTCGAGAAAATTTGCAAAGGACGCGCATTCTGCTGTGGACTTCTCGACAACCATGATCGCGCGCGCTCGTAATTGTAATAAAGTTTATCGGCAGTGTGGGAATTAGAAAAGTTGAAGATGGTTACACAGGGTGTCCTACTTGTAATAGACGTCTATAAATTAAAAAGTGACTAACAATTTTCAAAAATATTTAGTTTAAAAAAAAGATATTCGATCAGCAACCGTTCATAGTGAAGGGGTGAAAAATCAACCTCAAAATTGTAGGTAGTAGATACATCAATATATTTAGTCTACTATCTCGAAAATTATTAGAGACAGAAAAATAGTGAAAATTGACGAAATCTGTGTAACACTTCTCAACAACAAATTCGAAAAATAAGAAATAATAAATTTTGACCAAATATACTTGTTACGACCATCTTTGAGGGTGATTTTCATCCTTTCGCTGTGGGCAATTGTCCATATAAAAAAATACGTGTCAAATATTTTTTTAAGTAGGATCATATAGCAACGTTTGATCGTTATCGGTCTTTATCACTTGGAGATCTTCCCTTGTAACAGATGTTTATACGATTTGAGAATGTGCATGTGCTAAAATCATTTTGAAGTTCATTCCTAATCAACATTTCCTTTATATATTAACTAAATTCTTCGAGCGCCTTCAGTAACTCATTAATGTTTAAGATTCTATAACCTGCTACAATTTGGACTCAAGAACGCTTTGCTCTCACTTTCTTTCACTTTCACCCTTCAATAGCCAAGTTTAATTAAATCCGATCAATTATCATAATTCAAATAACAGAACTTCCACGCATCAACTCCTAAAGCACTTCGCCGAATACAATTCCCACTAGGCCATCCGTGTGAACAAAAAATTCCATATTCACGTACTTTCGAATTAAATTTCCGGTACTTTATTCTCACTCACCCAGCCACCACCTTCCGAACCGGTGTGTCATATTAAAAAACCCTTGCAAATCCCTCCGGTCTACTCTCGACTAACTGTACGTATAAAATAGAAACGTGCACGCGGCGTGTATATCGCCGTGGAGAAAAAGGGAAACGTAAGAAACCGTCCTATCCCTCTGGTAGCCTTTCATTTTCAGCAATCTCGACATAAATACAACGGTTCTGAAGGAAACCGCGGATATGAATGCAATAACGGCCCGGAAAGATACCGGGCTTGGGTAGAGAATCTGCCACGACAAATCGTGATCCCTGCAAGCGGAAAGGGGGAGAGGCTACACCGCGTGGAAGGATTCGCAAGGATGTCTCCAGGTGTTCAGCCCGTGGGATGAAGAGCAGAGAGCGAGAGAGAGAGAGGGAAGGACGTTGTCCGCGTAGCAAAGCACAGGCACGACTTAGCCGGAGAGTGTTTAGGTACTTTATAGGGGAGCATACACGGGAATAAAAGGAAGAAAAGTTATGATGGTCGGAGAGGGAAGGACGTTGTCCGCGTAGCAAAGCACAGGCACGACTTAGCCGGAGAGCGTTTAGGTACTTTATAGGGGAGCATACACGGGAATAAAAGGAAGAAAAGTTATGATGGTCGGAGAGCCGCGGTAATGCACGAGCACCGGCAACTTTACGAGCCGTAAAGGGGTGGGTTCGCCCTCTAGGCCCCTTTTATACACGGCGAGAATAAAAATTCCAACGCCTCTTTGCCTCTACTTTGGTAAGAAAAGGGAATAGCGGTTACAGTCCGAGACAATCTCGCGTGACCCCGGACCGTATCAGTTTCGTTTTCATTGTCCGCCACGGCCACGATGATCGCCGGGGCCAACTGATGGCTAATTCTCTAGCTGAAATGCCAGAAGTTACCGTAAAACGGCCGGTAAATCGACGCGGAAACGGCGCCGTTCTCGCGGTCCCAACAGTCGGCCGAAAGGAGATTGCCGGGCGACGAGTTTGGAATTTGTCGTGTGAAATTACGTAGTAAATTCGACACGTTGGATACTTTGCCGGCAGGTTATGCATCTCATCTCGTGGACAATTGTGTGCGGACAGGTGTCTGCAGTTGGTTGACGTTACTGAATTACGGTAGAAGTATAGACGGTATAGTAATATGAAAATGTTGAATGAAATTGCCGAGTACCATTCGATAAAATATATACAGAAGAAATAAATACACGAAATTACGTCGTCCTCGAAACCATTCGATTCTACTTTAAATCATTTTTCGTACAGCAGGTAGCTTCTTT